GCCTCCCTGGGAAAGTCTATGCCAGGGTGCTGGAAAGGAGAGTTCGTCCGTTAGTCGAACCTCGGATACAGGAGGAACAATGCGGTTTTCGTCCTGGTCGCGGAACACTGGACCAGCTCTTTATCCTCTCCAGGATACTTGAGGGTGCATGGGAGTTTGCCCAACCAGTCTACATGTGTTTTGTGGACTTGGAGAAGGCATTCGACCGTGTCCCTCGGGGTGTCCTGTGGGAGGTGTTGCGGGAATATGGGGTGTCTGGCCCATTGCTACGGGCCATTCGATCCCTATACAACCGTTGCAAGAGCTTGGTTCGCATTGCCGGCAATAAGTCGGACTCGTTCCCGGTGGGTGATGGGCTCCGCCAGGGCTGCCCTTTGTCTCCGGTTCTGTTCATAATTTTTATGGACAGGATTTCTAGGCGCAGCCAAGTGGCGGAGGGCTTTCGCTTTGGTGGCCTCAGAATCTCATCTCTGATTTTTGCAGATGATGTGGTTCTGTTGGCTTCATCGGGTGAGGGCCTCCAGCTCGCACTGGAACGGTTCGCAGCCGAGTGTGAAGCAGCGGGAATGAGGATCAGCACCTCCAAATCTGAGGCCATGGTTCTCAGCCGGAAAAGGGTGGAGTGCCCACTCCGGGTCGGGGATGAGTTCCTGCCCCAAGTGGAGGAGTTCAAGTATCTCGGGGTCTTGTTCGCGAGTGATGGGAGAAGGGAGCCGGAGATCGACAGACGGATTGGGGCTGCAGCTGCAGTAATGCGGACGCTGCACCGGTCCGTCGTGATGAAGAGGGAGCTGAGTGTAAAAGCGAAGCTCTCAATTTACCGGTCGATCTACGTCCCTACCCTCACCTATGGCCACGAGCTGTGGGTAGTGACCGAAAGAACGAGATCGCGGATACAAGCGGCAGAAATGAGCTTCCTCCGAAGGGTGGCTGGCCTCTCCCTTAGAGATAGGGTGAGAAGTTCAGCCATCCGGGAGGGGCTCAGAGTAGAGCAGCTGCTGCTCCACATCGAAAGGAGCCAGCTGAGGTGGTTCGGGCATCTGACAAGGATGCCCCCTGGGCGCCTCCTGGGTGAGGTGTTCCAGGCATGTCCCACCGGGAGGAGGCCCCGGGGCAGACCCAGGACACGCTGGAGAGATTATATCTCTCGGCTGGCCTGGGAACGCCTTGGTATTCCCCGGATAAGCTGGAGGAGGTGGCTGGGGAGAGGGAGGTCTGGGCCTCTTTGCTTAGGCTGCTGCCCCCGCGACCCGGCCCCGGACAAAGCGGATGAAGATGGATGGATGGATAGTTAGTTCGTTCCACTTCTCACGTGTACACCACTCTGTATTGGTCTTTCACATAAAATTCCAATAAAATTGATTCATGTTTGTGGCTGTAATGTGACAAAATGTGGGAAGGTTCAAGGGGGCCGAATACTTTTGCAAGCCACTGTATCATGAATTCAACCTGTCCCAAGCTGCAGTTTCCAACTACTAATGGCTTTGACAAAATTACATAAAAAGCACATGCAACAATAAAAACATTATGATCCAGACACATGCTCTGTCAATCTGATCGGGCTGTTCATAGCACTTCCTACATTGGAATAAACAACATCACGTTGTCAGCACAAACAATCACATGTCTGTCATTACCTGCGAAAAAAGGAAGTGACATCATTTTCATGGGAAAGGTATTTTTTTTGTTGTTTGTCTTTTTTTCCTCTCCAGGAAATGAAAGTCATGTTTGACTTTCATTTCATTTGCTAATGAAAGTCATGTTTGACTTTGTGCCTCTTTCTGTATTGTTCCCGGGATGCTTAGGTTTGATTGCACTGTTGGAAATAGTTTATTTTGATGCACATGCTGTTTTTGCAAATTGTGCACAATAATATCCATTTTCATGTTTTGCTGCAGTTAATAAAAATTAGTGCATCTTAAAAATGAAATTTAAAGACACTGTGCATTTTTTTGCATTTGCAATTTTGAGTAGAAGAATGTGTAAAATCAAAAACAATTTTCAATTTCTTTGTAGTTTATTGCACTCTTTAGCAATTTATTTAGTTACTATGGACTTAATGCATACATATTATTAAGATTTAGGATATAACAGTTGTAATGATGCATAGAATCTTGAAATACTCAAAAAAAAATGGCACTACAGCATGTAAAAATCTAAAGATGAGGTCTGTTCTATGTTGGGCTTAAAAGGGTTAAATGCCTGTAGTAAGGAGCCTGTTAACAGAGATAAATTGATCAAATTTTTAAAAAGAGTTATACCATTAATTAATGCTATGACTTCTTTGAGCAGTCTTGTAGGGATGGGGTTTAATAGACATGTTGATGGTTTGGAAGAAGTAATTATTGGAGTCAGCTCGGAAAAATCAAGTGCTCTCATTTTAAGCTGTGTTGGTAATTTTGTGGAGCCAGGAGTGTGAGCATAGCACGAGCCACTGGGTCCAAGTCCTCCACCACATCTGACACCAGTTCCACATACAATTCCAGGACAAGTCCCCATCCATCTGGTCTGACCTGTCAATCCTGTTGCTCCTGTTGAAGCTCTGCTGTCTTCATTCTTGTGCCACTTCTGCACATGCTGCCATCACCTCCCATCTTTTACAAAGAGTGAGCACATGTGATGATTTCTTTGATTAAGATGGGGTAGGACATAAAAAACCTTTCAAAATAAAAGCATGCAAAAATATATACAAACATGGTATAAGGAGCTTGGAAAGAAAAGCGTCTGGACTTCTTTAAGTTGTTTAAAGACTTTTCACCTCTCATCTGAGAAGCTTCTTCAGTTCTAAAGTGAAATGGTGGAGAGTCCCAGATTTAAGCTCTGTGGGAGTAACCCACCAAGAGGGACAAAGGTCCACCTAATGAACCTCTACCTAATCACACAAGCCAAGATGTGAGAACGAGTGTAGGTCACAATCAGCCAAGGTTTCGGGTGAACTCATTGTGAAACTTAGCCCCACCCTGTCATGTGATTTATGAGTTTTCCTAAACAGAAACTTAACAGCATAGTGTATGCTGTACAGCAAGCCTATTCAAATGGCGGCCCGCGGGTCAAATGCGGCCCAGAAGCAACTGGCCCTGCCTGTGGTCCTGGCAGAAACACAGAGAAAACGCAAAAAATTAATTCATTAATTAATTTTTTTTTTTTAATTAAAAATTCCTACAGCGTAGTGTAGACTGTGAATGCAACACTCCTAGTAGCCTAGCAATATTTAACCCACAATGCACCGTGATGTAAACATATTAAACAATCATCGTAATATATGATGCGACAACAGCATGTCTTTCTCACTCCAAAAGCGCAAAATTGACAATGAAAACTGTCGGTTTAACCCTGCCTGGACTGACAAATACTTATTCATTTTACCGAGTTTAATAATCTTACAACCGGAGTTGTACTACCATGGTGAGGGTCCTGTACAGCCCAAGAGAGAGCTGCAGCATCTTCCCTTCGTGTGTGTATATATATATATAAAACACCTTTATCTACTTTACATAAAAATGTGTGTGTGTTTGTGGTTTTATTTTTATATATCCATCGATCGATCGATCGACAGATATGTATATATATATATATATATACAAATGTATGTATATATATATACAAATGTATGTATATATATATATATAGATATGTATATATATATCAGAAAAGGTGCTTCTTTGAGAATAGGTGAATGGGGAATGCTGTATAAAGCTCTTTGAGTGCTCAGCTATGAAAGAACTATTCCAGGTTTATCCTGATATGCTGCATTTGGTTATGCCAAGCATCTCTACTATGGTCCTGCCTGTGCAAGGGACATTGCTCCAGACATCTTGTGGTTTGTTCAGATGCAGTTTTTCTAAATCTAAGCCATGTTGCCATGCTCTTCGTAGAGAGAACAGGCTTTCTCTTTGCAAGCCTGCCAAACAAGTCAGTCCTTTTCTAACTGTGCTATCGTGAACTTTAATATTTCACAAGGTAACTGAGCCCTGAGATGTAGCTTTTGTTTGCTTATTGTCCCAATCTCCCACCCAGCTTATTTCTAAGTGTTCCCATCTAAGCATAATTTTTTTTTTGTATCTTTAGTGATTTGTTAATCACAGATGATTTGAAAGGCATCCTTATCTGAATTTATTGCTCTTACTTGTGATGGTATTTTCATATTATTTTGGTTTTCGAAGGAAAAAACCACCAAAAACCAGTTGGCAGAAGCAGGGATGTTACTGCAGAGGTCACTTTCACATCCTGAAAGTAAAAGGATATGAAAGCTGATGTCTTAGTTCTAAAGCTTATCAAATCACAAACACTGCAAAAAAAAAAGAAAGAAAAAGAATTACCTACAGGACTCTGCACTTCACACATATTAGGTGCTGCACATGTTCTAAAGCCCTTTATGGCCACTTTGTCCCAAGTAAAGCTCTCTCTCTCTCTCTCTCTCTCTCTCTCTCTCACTCTCTCTCTCTCTCACACACACACACACACACACACACACACACAAACAACACACAATCCGGGCAAGCTGTGCTTACAAACAAAGAGATATGTGGGTGGAATCATATCTCTGTCTAACGTTTCGAACAAAACACACACGCGCGCGCGCGTGCACGCGCACAGACACACAAATCATTCACCATAGGGACAATTGTCGGTATATCCACTGCTACACCGCAAATAATAACTGTTGATAATGAATTCTGCAAATTGTATTTTCATAAAAGGTGCACAAATACGGTTTAAAACAGGTTTTTGTTGCAGCCGGGGTGTGACAGGATTAAAGGAACTGACCTGAAATGGCCACCAAAGTGACCAACCACATTAGGACCTCTTCCTTTAGGCCTCGCCCTCCACACGGCTCAGTTGATTCGCGCGAAGCATTCTGCTCCCAGGCAGACACCTGACAGTGCCAAGCTCACAGTAGGCACTCTCGCGCCTGCGATCTCTTATTTGTGCACGCCCCTGAGTTTTACCCTCGAGGATCTCATTTTCACTCGTGATTATGTTTTTTTTTTTTCCTCGGGTGGATATGTTTGTCACTATTTCTTTCTTGGGGAAGTGAAAAGTTTCACTTTCTCTATGTGTCTTCATAGGTGTTCCTCAGACTGACGATATGAAGGGAAAAATACTTCTGGTCCTTTTGTTATTCTGGCCAGGTAAGATTTAGACCTTCACATTTTATAGGTGAAGTGAACTTAAGCAAAGGGTATATAAATCTGTTCCTTTAATAGGCCAGTCATATAGCTAGAATTCCAGCACAGGAGGTCACATACTTGATGGTTTAATAGCTCAGCTAAGGTTTACTGTGTACTTTACCACCTAGCTTTAAAAGGACAATTAATAATTTTGCCTGAATATAAGCACTGGAATCATTTGGAAGACAGTGGTACAGAACTGTACACCAACATACTGAACTGAAGATTAAACTGATTGGTTCAACAGATATCTCTAAAATGCAGTAGACATAACACTCACTGAACACAAAAAAGAATTAAATAAAAAGAAAAACAGGGCAGATATTAAAATGACTTTCTTTATTCCTTCAAAACCTATAATGAATATGTTCCTGCTTCCACTAGAGGGAGACGAGTTCAAATATATCTAGCATAAAATGACTTGGCTTCGTTTGTGGCTAGCTAAGCTCTACCATGTAAAACTAAGCTGCAATGAAGCTGTAGCCTGTGTCTACCTGCTAGTAAGAACCTTCCTTATGTTTCTCCACCAAATCACAGTGATGCTCATATGACATCAAAAGGGGCTTATCCCTCTGGTGATGAACAAAAAAAATGAAAAGAAGAACAGTGAAACAGAAAAGTGCACAGGATAACGGTTAGTTGTACATTCACAAGGATGAGTCTGCAACTGCTTTATGATGTGTTTGTTAGCTGTGCTGCCTGCACTCTGTGGTTATGTGGCATTTAAAGATATCTGTGACATCAGCTCATGCTAAAAGTAGAATACTGGTAGTGACTGCACTGCGAAGCCGGAGTTAAATTAATCGGACAAATTTGATCCTTTTAGTCTACAACGGTGCTTTTTTTCATGTCATTACTAATGTCATCGACAGGTGTGTGCCCACTGAGTTTCCAGGAAGTACATGTCAAGTCAGGTGAGATGGCGGTACTGCAGTGCCCTTCTTACAGAGAGTACAGTGATGGAGATGCTGAGGTGTTCTGGACCAGTCACACCGTGGATGAAATGAAACTCTTCAACATGTCAACATCAGCTGAGCAGAGGCAGATGGGTGTGCTGGTTCATGGAAGAATCCTTGTCATTCTCAGAGCTTCAGTAAACCATCAGGGGAATTACTCCTGCTCTTTTCGGTAAAATTTAATACAATTCCCACATTAACGGTTTAATTATCTAAGACTGACATCAACCAAAGCCACAGGCCTCATTTATGAATAGATGTCGTGCCCACACTGATATAAAGTACTATTTCCTACACTACAGGATACCAGAGCAACTTTTATCTTGTGGTTATTTTTGAAAGCTTGTTATTGAACATCCTTCGGCACCAGAAAAGCGATTTTTATCTTTGTCCTGAACCAGGTTGCATTATGGTGTGAAACATCTATGTGACAATCATCTGAGGTTAGAAGAATCCAAAAGCACACCTGAGGATGCTAGGTTGTCGTCGTAAATGCTAACATCTGCAAAGCAAAGATGCAGGGAGTTGAGGTCATGAACTTGGATGAGTTTAAATAACTGGAGTTAACAATTCAGAGCTATAGACAATGCACAAGAGAGGGAAAGGAGAGAGCACAGGAAGGGTGGAGCGGGTGGAGACTAGGTGATGTGTGACAGAAGGAGAACAGCAAGAGTGAAGGGGAAGGTTTTACAAGATAGGAGTGAGGCCTGCTATGATGCTTGCTTTGGAGACTGTGGAGCTGGCAACAATAGAGCAGGTGGAGAGTCAAAGATGTGTATGTTTTCACTGGACATGACCAGCATGGCGAGGATCACTAAAGAATCGCACAAATCCAACATTGAACTGATGGATTCAAAAAGAGAAAGAAATGAAACACTTTATATATTTTTTATTTTCTCGACAGTAATTCCAGCAGGCGTTCCTGGATCAACCTCAGAGTATACACAGTGGAGTCCAAAGAGTCTGGAAAAATGATCCAGGACTCTAAAACATGTTACACAGATAAGTCCTGCACTTTATATTGCCATGATGAAAATATTCTCTTTGATACCTGGAATATCACCAGAAACAGCACTACATGTCACAAGGTAAACAGAGCAGATTATGTGAATGAGATCAAAGCAGTGTTTTACTGTTTTTCCATATACAACATATGTGCTATGTTGTAGGAGGGCGAGCCATCTCCAAAAGACGGCTACTTCTCGAGTGTGAAAAAAGAGGACAGTGGCATCTATACCTGCACCTGGTCTTACCTGTATGATGGTCAAATATATAACATGACCTCTATGGTGAAACTTGATGTCCAACCAAGCGGTAAGCAAAACACATTCTGTAAATTTTTATTTTCAAAGACTTTAATATGTGTTTTTCAAAATATCAGCCTTTTTTCTTTTCTTTTTTTTTATAAATTTGTGCAGAAATAACTAAGAAAGCAGTGATAATTTCACCAGAGAACAGCCAAGAATTTGATGTAGATTTAGGTGAGTTATTGTCTATAGTCATACACCTTCACACTCTTGTCTAAAGCTTTAATGTTAATCATTAATAAAATCTGTGTTAACTCTGCTTTTTCTAGATTCAACAGTGGTGATTGATTGTAAAGCAGTAACGTCTTCGGACACTGATGACTTGTTCTGGTTAAGCGGCGATTCATTTGTGGAGACAAATAGCACTCTGCCCGTTTTCTATAATTATACATGGTAAATATCTCACACACATATTATGTAACTGTAGGGGCGACTGTGGGTTGGGAATCACATCTGTAACCGGAAGGTCGCCGGTTCGATCCCCGGGCTCTCTGTCCTGGTCGTTGTGTCCTTGGGCAAGACACTTTACCCTACCGCCTACTGGTGTTGGCCAGAGGGACCGATGGCGCGATATGGCAGCCTCGCTTCTGTCAGTCTGACCCAGGGCAGCTGTGGCTACAACTGTAGCTTACCTCCACCAGTGTATGAATGTGAGAGTGAATGAATAGTGGTATTGTAAAGCGCTTTGGGTGCCTTGAAAAGTGCTATATAAATCCAATCCATTATTATTAACTGATATGCTTTATACAAACGTCACAGCTATCAATTCTGCTTTTAGAGCTGCCTCAATCATGTTGTTCATCTCCGTTTCAGGGTCAACAGCACAGAGGAAATCAGCATGACAGCATCTCTAGTCTTCAGACAAGTGTCAGAGGAGGATCTGTCAAAAAATTATACCTGTAAACTGCAATCTGACTATGAAACAAGCTTTGTCACCATCACCCTAAAACAAAACGGTATGGCCAATTGAACACTTTGAGTCATTTTATAAATAAATATGTCGATGAAACTTGATGTCTAGCCAAGTGGTAATAAAACAAGTTTAGTGACATTTTATTTTCAAAAACTTTAACGTGTGCTTTTCAAAAGGTTTTAGATTTTGGCGTTTTTTTTTTTTTGTTTCTTTTTTAATAGAAACTTTTATACCACCAATGATCATTTCACCAAAGAAAAACCAAGAATTTGATGTAGATTTAGGTGAGTTATTGTCTATAGTCATACACCTTCACACTCTTGTCTAAAGCTTTAATGTTAATCATTAATAAAATCTGTGTTAACTCTGCTTTTTCTAGATTCAACAGTGGTGATTGATTGTAAAGCAGTAACGTCTTCGGACACTGATGACTTGTTCTGGTTAAGCGGCGATTCATTTGTGGAGACAAATAGCACTCTGCCCGTTTTCTATAATTATACATGGTAAATATTTCACACACAGATTATATGTAACTGGTATGCTTTATGTATCCGTCACAACTATGAATTCTGCTTTTAGAGCTGCCTCAATCATCTTGTTCATCTCCGTTTCAGGGTCAACAGCACAGAGGAAATCAGCATGACAGCATCTCTAGTCTTCAGACAAGTGTCAGAGGAGGATCTGTCAAACAATTATACCTGTAAACTGCAATCTGACTATGAAACAAGCTTTGTCACCATCACCCTAAAGCAAAACGGTATGGCCAATTGAACACTTTGAGTCTTTTTATGAATAAATATGTAGAAGAAACTTGATGTACAGCCAAGTGGTAATAAAAACAAATTTTGTAACATTTTATTTTCAAACACTTTATTTGTTCTTTTTGAAAGGTTTTAGATTTTTTTTAATGTTTGTTCTTCTTTAATAGAACCGTTTATACCGCCAGTGATCATTTTACCAAAGAACAAACAAGAATTTGAGGTAGATTTAGGTGAGTTATTGTCTACATCCACATACTTTCACACTCTTGGCTAAAGCTTTAATGTTAATCAGTTATAAAATCTGTGTAAACTCTGCTTTTCTAGACTCTACAGTGGTGATTGATTGTAAAGCAGTCACGTCTTCAGACATTGATGACTTGTTCTGGTTAAGCGGCGATTCATTTGTGGAGACAAATAGCACTCTGCCCGTTTTCTATAATTATACATGGTAAATATTTCACACACAGTTTCTATATAACTGATATGTTTTGTATCTGTCACAGCTTTGAATTCTGCTTTTAGAGCTGCCTCGATGATGTTCATCTCATTTTCAGGGTCAACAGCACAGAGGAAATCAACATGACAGCATCTCTAGTCTTCAGACAAGTGTCAGAGGAGGATCTGTCAAACAATTATACCTGTAAACTGCAATCTGACTACCAAACAAGCTTTGTCACCATCACCCTAAAGCAAAAAGGTATGAATCAGTAAACTCAGAATAATCGGTATTTTTTGTTTGTTTTTCAATAAAGGGTGTCACCGTCATTCTGACCAAATAAAAGTGTCTTAGTGTGTTGTTAATGTTCTGATTACTCTCCATTACTCCCTACAGCTGTTTCACATCTCGCCATGGGTTTATGCATTTTTCTCGCTGTGTTGGTGGTATTACCAGTAGCTATTTATACTATGTTTAACATCATTCTTTGGCTGCAAAAAAATCTTGGCTTCTACCACAGAGCCCCAGGTGGGATACTATTTTAAACATGTGTTACAGATTCATATTTTTTTGTCATTTTAACAATGGCATTTTACTGAAGTGAACTTCAGTGTGATTGTTTGTTTTTCTTTGTCATGCTAAGACAGGGAAACTGCATCGTTTGAAGACTCGCTTCTAAACAGAAACAGCAGGAGGCCTTGAGTACAGGTTCATCACCAGGGACTTACAGCTCTGCGAGGTTGTGTCACCTGAAATGGCTCCATGTTGCACTCCTCCTCCTTCTGAAAGAAGCTTCGTCATTACCTGCCCGTCCCACAGAGAGCACCCAGAGATTTAATATGAGTATACAGGTAGAGGTACATTCAGAGTTTATTTTAGACACCTGAACATTGCCAGGTGCCAGGCATCCGCCTAGCAACAAAAAAAAATTAAACATATGTCTCTCTTTGTGATATATGGGCCTGTACCAGCTCATATAATGTTTATGGACAGCACACATACTCACACATTGCGTGAGTATGTGTGCAATGCATCTGCAGACATCCACTCATGTGACAGCCTCAAAGCTGCATTTCCCTTTACTAAGGAAAATGTCACAATGTTTCCAGAAAATGTTTAATGTGGTATATTAACCCTGGAAGTTGCTCAACTCTAATTCTGTCATGTATTTAACATGACTTACTTGCTTTAATTTATTGCATCGTAAAGAGCAAAAAGGTTGAAGCTTGTATTGCTCTGAAGTCATTTTCATGCATTATTATGCACGAACGCTCCTGGAGGTAAATAACTGGTCAGTTTTGCAACTGTTAATAATGTTCATGTTATGGCGGCTTATCAAACATATTGACTCAGCTTACTTTATGTGCAGTCATTTGTAATTTTTTAATAGTTGATATCATATTTTACTTTATTAGCCTTTCTACTCCTTAGGTTATGACACTGGTATGATTAATTTCCTTATCTAAGAGTAAGGATTAAGCTTGAAACGAAGATTTTTATCATAATCGATTTTTTATTTTATTTTTTTTTGTAGTGAATGTTATTACGGGTACATCGTTATTTAAAGGAGAAGTAAAACAAACAAGCAAAAAAAGCAATCATCGAGTCTTAGGAATGATATAAATGTTTCTTTAGCTTATTATATTTGTGTAGGTGTATTTTTATTATTTTCTTTTTTATAAAACATAAAACTGTGATGGTTGTCTTCAGGCTCTGATGACATCAACCACTGTGCCTTAAGACTCAAAATACAACATACATCAGGAGAAGCAATTGTAGAAAAGGGAAAAAAATAGTGGTGGTTTTACAGCAACACTAATATCCATTGATATTCGTTCTTGGGTTTATGGAGTTCATTATACAAGTCCTGGTGTGACTCTTTAATAATGGAAAGATTTACCTATACACTGACCTACCTAGTGTGTTTTTACTGATGAGCACAACTGCAGTAGGAGTAACAAATTAATCAATAAAATCAGATTTTGTAGAGAATAAAGATGTGTTGATTCCCAGCCAATTTGTTTATCCATTTATTATTGTCACAGTAAATGTCTCTCCTCTGTATGTGGAACCCCCCAAAAATAATCTCTGTGTGGCATCTTACTGGATGTCTAATTTCATGTTCGTGTTTCTTTGTATTTATACATTTTTGTTATTAAAGATGATAAACTCTGTGACCAAACTTTATGCCCTTCACCATCTGCCAATGTAACATGTACAATGTAACATATCTCATTGATGTTGCTATCTGGACTCTCTCCTGCTCTGCTCACTTCAGGTGAGACAAACTAAGACTTGCGGAGAGGGACTGGGTGTGTGTTGTAACTTTATTGCAGTTTATTGTTTCATAACAGCATTTTGATTATTTTGTAAATGATTTAATTGCTAGCCACATGTTTAGTGAGAGCTGTTAATTATAGATTAAATTTTCTGTCAAAAAGAGCATTTAATACGTATTTTCATTAGATACTTCATAGAGATGGAAGTTACTCATGTTTAGCTAGGAAAAGAAAAGTTTTCAGGAAGCTATTATATGTTGCTCTGATGTCAGTTACTTTATGTGTTGTACACCCTTTTTTTGAAGTCCTATATAAAGACTATCGTTTCTATAACTGATGTCCGATCCATTTTTCGGGCTAAGTGGATTTGCCACAACAGTGTGCAACACCATACCATTATACCAAAAATACCAATACTTCCACCAGTAAACTGGGACAGCTCTGTTACTAAACTCAATCCCACTTGCAGTGTTGTCTTTCATCAACTACTTGGTATCAGCTGCACTGCATGAAACACACATTCAGTAATCTGGGGCGGGGGGGTCATACATATTGGCCAATCAATACATTTTACTACTTGCCAGCAACTTACAGTATCTAAACATTTCTTATTATACATGCAAAATTTAGAGAGCATCAAAGACCACTTTTAATATGAGAATCAAAAGAAAAACAAATGGCCGTAATTTTTCAGGATTTGGATGAATCTGTGCAGAGAGTATAAACATGCACACTGGACAGCTCATCCTGCTACTTTGTATCAGCAGTCACATCATCAGTAAAGACTAGTTACCTGGTTCCACTGACAATGGCACCAGGTAACATACCATAACATAATCTCCACAAGTCATGAGGCTGCAGAATGTGTGTGGAGGACAAAAATGCAGACATACGGGGCTGAATGGAACTGAAAACTGTTATTTGGCTGAAAGCGGTAATTCCAATAAAGCAAAGTTCAAAAGCAAAAGTGAAAACAATAACTGTAAGGGGGCTGTAAGGGATGTAAGTGTGTAAGAATGCTGCAGAACACGATAAATTATTGTTGCATGGTTTGCTGTCGTTGCTGAAGTGTGTTTCCATTTATAACGATTCTCTCTTCCAGACTGCAACTGCAGGCCTACGTTTAATGTTTTTGACGTATGGTCTATTTATTTATTTAAAAATAAATAAACAATCATTTATTTATTCCTGTCTACGTGTATGTGATTTTCTGATTACAACTAGCATAGTGCGCTTGTTCTGTTGGTGAGTTACACGCAGCAGAATATCATCTCTTATTCTGCAACCTTGCTTCATACTGCATGGCTCTTAGCAGAATGGGCATTTATATTGAAATGAACTCTGTTTCGCAAACAATGCAACTTTTGCAAATCATCTGCAAAACTTACCACACTAACGTCCCGTTTTTTTAATAGTCAAATGGGACCACAAGGTGGCATTAAGTCACTGGATGAATGCAAATAAACCTTAGAAGATCATATAAAGGGCAAAATGCTGTTGTTGTGTAATGATGACTTCACATTGACAGTGTTTAAATTAATCTAATGATTGTTTATCTGTTTATAGCTATAATTGTTCAAGCTCATGGGCATTAATTTCTTCCACACAAACCCTCTCAGATATGCTGATTATCGCATTTAGTCTCATGTACAACATCAAGAAAAATGCTGTCATTTCCAACCTTCCCTGCAACAGATTAAAGACACAGTACAAAACAGTGCCGTTAAACATGCTCTGTAAGAGTAAAAAAGGAAACTCAAATGCTTCAGAAGTGGGAGTTGGTGTGGTTCAACATGTTGTGGATACAGAGATGCTCTTCTGCATAACTTGGTTAACAGGAGGTAATTTGAGCCGTTGTTGCCTTCCTATAAGCTTGAAGGATTCTAGCAATCTGCCCTCCACACACCAATAAGCCATTTTAACCCAGGATTGCACCATTGACATCCAGGAGTCCGAGTTGCAAGAAAGGATTTTTATTTTATATTCGGTGTTATGGTACATGAAGGTTAGCTATGGCAGGGGTTTCTAAAAAAAAAGGGGGGGGGGGGACCCATTACAATAAAAATAAGGACTAAAGGTCAAGGTAACTGGATTCAGACACATTACAATCCCATTAAGAAGGTGAATTATCCACATTTTGCTGTACAAAAAAATGCAAATATATATTTTAAACAAGCATTAAGATGGTACTCCAACACAAAGAATGACAGTATCTCTACCTGGGCAGCCGGTCGGTAGTCAGATCTTCATCTTGTCTCTGTAGATCAGGAATATTGTTCCATCTCCACTTAACACTGGCACACAACACAGTGCATTAAACAAAAGTCACATTAAACACTGAAGTTGATTACTAAACCCTTTAATAAGGGGAGGAAACTATCAGGTAATTCTACAGGTAATTAGACTAATTAGTAAGTAAACTAAAAGTGTGAAAAAACTGAGTAATTAAACAATACAGTCAAACTCATGTTCAGATGATGTACACTAGGCTAAACAGGATGGACTAGTTCCCAACAGCTCTCTGCTTCTCCCTCTGCCTGAGAGCAAATCACACCAGCCTGTAAGTATAAATACACTGAGTAATGTAGTTGCAATAACAGGATTTTTTCTACAGCACTATTCAGAATCAGAATTTCAAATAAAAGAAAACTCTGGGTAACCATTGGAAATTTGAGCCGATCAAGGAAATTCCTCATGGGGTGTACCTGCAAGTCTGGTAAAACTGTTGCATCAAGTGTGCCTTGTCTAAGTGAACTTAGTCAGCTCTGTTAAAATGTCCCCAAATGGAAAGGTGTAACATCACATGGAACATCTGGGGCAATACCCAGTGGGCAAGAAATGGGAGAGGCCCACTCAAAAAACTGTCAAAGAGGCTCTTCCTCTATTGGATTGTTATATTCATAATTGGACACATAAAAGCTCCATTATATGTGTAAGTCATAGTTCTAAGTCATAAACCAAATTCTAATCCTTTTTATAAACTTTTAGCTGTTATTTTAACTCCACTGGTTATAACAGGAACCTGTTGTGAAACTTTTGATTGCAGAGGGGTATGCTGGGAAATAAATTGCATATACTTCCTGACCTTGTTCCCTGCCATCTATGCAACATGCCCGCAAACTGTGCAATAATTGTTTTGTTTTGTTTTGTTTTGTTTTGGGGGGTGTTGTTAGGCATGTGTATCGTTTTAAATTATATATCGCGAAGAAAATCAATAAAGTGGCGCTAACATGGGGAAGAAGAACCCACCGGGGCTTTGGATCTGAGTGGTGCTGTCGTTGACTTTGCTGAGCGCAAGGACTGAAAGATGAAACTGTTGCAGGTGAGTAGTTTTCTGTGTTTTTGCGAAGGATTTAAACATGACTAATGCTAAATAATGCGCTGAAAATATGCGCTCATACGGAAATGCTATGTGTGTCATTAGAAACTAATACACTGGAAATGATCGTTGAATAAATGAGTATGCTTGTTTGTAAATGTGACCCCATACAGTCAGTCTGTGAGGAGCTGTGGTTAACGGGTTTTCCTCTTTTGTTCTTTCCTTGTAAAGATCACAGTTTTCTTTGTGTCACTAAATGTGTTTTGGGGCCTTTGGCAGATTAGTTGAAAACGATGATGTGCGGTTAGAGCATAAGCTTAGATGTGTCCACTCCACTGACCTGTGACTGCAATTGTTGTCCACGGTGCTGATGAAAAGAGTTATGCTAT